ACCGCGCTGCACTACGCCGACCTGGTGCACGGCGCGCTCGCCGACCAGGGATACTACGAGAACCACGGTCAGTGTAGCTGTAGAACTTCAAGCACTAGTTATTGTATTACTTGGTCGGACGTGAACTGGTTTGTCAGATATTTATATATTCAATGTCAAACATAATAATTTAGTTTCCCAAGAAGTCAGAAGACCAACCCCCTATTCCACCACTGACTGATAGACGCTCAGATGGCTTAAAAATAACGTCATTGTCAGATAAAGGACCAAATTCCGATATTTCCGTCACTAATTTTACACGTTAGATTGTTATAAGACAATTTACAATTTGGTGGGGCAGGCCTTAATTCTTCTGATTGATGTGGCTAAATTTATTAGATTCAATTAGTATCTAGTTCAATGTACTAGACATTGAACTAGATACTTCTAAGCGAACAATCACACTATCTGATTACATTATAACTTATATTACAGTTTTAGTTTTGTTTTGTCTAATTGAGATTTTAAGTAAATCGTCACCAAGATTTTTGTAGGATGATAAGGATTTGCAACAATTCAAGTTTATTAGTTAGTTGTCTTTGACAACATAAGGAAGGTCAGAGATGGATTTATATTACGAAGCTCGAGATTTTATTACAGCGAAATTAAAAGTTAAAATAAATTCCTTTGTTGTTGTAAAATCCGTTCTGTATCTCAGGACAAAATAAAACAACGGAGGAGATATGTACGATTGTAAACAACCTGGAGTACGTGCGGCGTTCGCTCGCCGAGTACGACGATGAGCACATGTAAGTGCATTGATAATACCATTTGCCATACAAATACAAAGCGAAACAATTTGCACAACCTATTTACGTTACAAACGTGCTTTTGTTAACGTTGTTATCTTGTTAAGATTTATGTTTCAGGTTTTTTTGTTTTCCTTATTTCCATGGTATTGAAATACACAATATATTCACTCTACTTTGTCAATATTATTTATTTATTCATTTAAATTAGGTTTATCAACATAATTACATGATTTTAACTGACTTGTCACAGTCAAGAACTTTTGAAGCTTCCAAGAGATTGTTCCTAAGAAATCAAGTAAAACTGCACTTTCCTACAAAGGAAGAAAATTTTCATTATAAAAGCGTAAGAGTTGTTGAGATTTTCTTACACTACAAAACTTTCTTCTTTGTATTTGATAATAAAAGTGGCGAAGCAATCGAGAAGTTGTTTAAAGAACGTTAAGAAGCAATGTCTTAGTTTTAAACGACTTTAAAACTTATGTGATTCTTACTTCTTACTAATATTATAAATGCGAAAGTTTAGATGGATGGATGGATGAATGGATGTTAGAGTTTGTAGTATAAACCGCTGAACGGATTTCAATGAAATTTGGCATAGATGTAGAGTATAGTCAGGAAGGATAAAAGGAACGGAGTCGCGGGCGAAAGCTAGTAAAGAATAAAATATTCTTTTACCATTAGACTGTCCGAATTAATGTTAGATATTTATTAAAATATATCTTCCAACATTGTTTTAACATTTAGTGTAAATGACGACAACGCGCGGCAACTTGTTCGTGGCGCTCTGGGCACGCTAGACGCGCGTTCAACCCGCGCTGCCGCTCCACTGGCGGCGCGGGCTCGTCCTCCGCTGCGTAAGGCAGTGTTCCATCTTGCCTGGTCACCGGACACCTTGCCTACACCAGAGGTACCATTTTTCAAGTGTACATGTACCGTGTAGTAACGAAAAAATACTTTTCGAAATAATATCTCTACACATCATATTAGTTTCATACCGTTCTAATATACTCTATTTTATTGTTTCTCAATAAAAATGAATCATTTTGAAAGGGAAGTCCTTGGCTTCTTAAAACAGGAATCCTAGGTAAGTCGTCAAGGCAACACTGCTTGATGTAGTTATCCTTAGTGTGCAATAAAGATATCCTTATTCTTATTTTTAATTTATACTCTGGTACTCGTAAGACAGAAAATTCTTAGAGACTGAGGCATATTCAAATTTAACTATTTGATATTCATTATACAATATTGTCCTATCAGGCCATAACTCCCTTATTGGAGTATTTAGATCAGCATCTATCTTCACTGAACACATGGCTGCTACCGCGTGCTTTCACTCGAGCTTTAGCCGGCTGTTGGAGCGCCGTGTTGAAAGAAGTGTGGGCTCAAGCGGACGCTGGGGGTGCGGAGAAGCCAAGAGTCTACCATCATCGACTGAGAGAGGCTCTCGATTTGCTTGCTGAATTTTTCCATGCTGAAGGGAAAGGTAAGTAATGCTTATGATTATTCTACGACCATTTTGGCCAAAGAGTGGTCAAAGTACGATAAGGTATCCATTTATTCAATTAAACTCTACATTTATAGCTCTCGCTTTGTACATACTTCCTATTATTAAATTTTATTGTTTTTGTAAAACAATATTATAATTAAGCAAAATGGTATTACGGACAGCATTACCAATGTTGTATGGTATTTACTACATTGGTAATGCTGTCGATCACTAACAGACTGTATAACCATGTTTTTATATAGAGAACAACTAGCAACTCATATGTGTAGGTCTGCCAATGTCGGAGGTGCACAGCGGCGAATGGTCTCGACTGGAGCAGCGCATGCAGTTCCACCAGGCGCAGACAGAGGAACTGCTGGAATTGTGGCTGGCGGACCGCGTTTTGGACCAGTCGCGCACGCCTTTGCCGTCGCCGTATGGATCTATATTGGTCAGGTTAGTATACTCTTTTCTATTTAGTATTCCATGAGGATCAATTTTCTCTGTAAGTCTCTTCCACATCCTTCTGTCTTTAACATCGAAAAACCGATTTTTAATACCATTTAACAATAATATTAAAAATTAATCAACTAAAATGTTTAATTCGCCACTCTTTCACTATGGTTAGATGAAATTGTTAATACGTGAACATTATTGTACGTAGAGTGTACTTCAACCACGACTCGCTGTCTGTGGAGGTGCTGTCAGCACGTGACGTCATCCCACTCGACCCTAATGGATTGAGCGACCCCTTTGTAGTGCTCGAGCTACTTCCAAAGCGACTGTTTCCCAAAGCTCAGGAACAGACAACTAACGTTCAAAAGGTAACTTTATTTTGTTAGCTTTTATGTAACTATGAACACTATCTCATAGTGTATGTATTTTGTTATCACAACAATAATAACCATTTCCTTTCTTATATTAACTAGTTAAGTTACTCAAGGCCCATAATTTTTCACATAGAGTAATGACGATTTTGAATTAAAAAAGTAAAGCAATTCATGAAGACTGCGTGGTAAATTGCTATTTTCCAACAGAAAACTTTGAACCCGGTGTGGGACGAATGCTTCGAGTTCGCGGTGACGCTGGAGATGTGCCGCTCCCCGCAGGCGACGCTGGCGCTGTCCGTGTGGGACCGCGACGTGCTGACAGCGGACGACTTCGCGGGCGAGGCGTTCGTCCCGCTGTCGCGCGTTTCCGGCGTCAATAGCCACGCGCTGCCCGACCCGCTGCGCCCGCTGGAACTGCCGCTTATGCAACTACATGACCGAGGTGAGCATCTTAAGTTGCGGATAAGACAGTCGCAGGTGTAAATTGCCGTGAATGTACAATGTAACGCGGATGTCCGCACTGTACGAATATAGATGAGATTCGCTTACTACTGTACACTGTACACTTATTACTAATCAGTTTGGTTGGCGGTTTAGAGTGTGTTTATTGAAATTCATTGACACAAAGTTATAGTTATATCAAAAAAGTTTTTAGAACTCAAATTCAATAAGGAAAGGGAAGTTAACGGACCTTACTAAATTTGAAATAGCATTAAAACGGCTTGCACGTAGCAAAAGATATTTACAAATGACATCTTTGCAGGGCATCCGATTTTGCAAATCCTGGAGTCACGTACAACGGACAAATTGGCGATGGATTTCGTCAAGAAACAAAAATTAAGATTCGCCGAACAGTAAACGTATTTTCTCTTGTTAAATCTATTTCAGTTGTCTTCTTCGTTTGTTTGTGTGCGCACAACGTCCATATAAATGTCGACAATATATAAAATATATAAAAAAAAATCTATTAAAATTCTAATCGTTTATTCGCATTCATTAACGTAGGTGTTCGTTGATGGTTTTAGGAAACATTTGAATTATTGTAAAAATTACTACAAGACTGTGTTATTCTTCTATTCGTGAGAGATAAACTTGTAAAAAAATGAAATTTCAACAAATTTTATATGTGTATAGCGTGCACTTTCGGAGCTTATGTCCTTAGATGTTAGACTCTATTAGAAATTCCCGACCAAGTACTATAAGACTCGTTGTAAACTTTTATTTTTATATTTCTTACTATATACTTCGTAGCGTCTTGAATACGAACTATCATATTGTTTTGCAATTAATATTTGCTCAATAACTCTATATGGAAGCAGCTAAAAAATACTACGGGTTCAAAAATGTAAAATAAAATATTATTTTTTTATTAATGCAGAGTCAAGAGTAATATTCACCTATTAAATAAAATGTGTGACGTTCGTTTTCGTTTCGATATTATGTACGATTTATTACGAACTACTCGTACATATGAAATGTTGACTCGACCTTGAAGATGGTGTAATACGAGCTCGTACTTTGATTCAATTTAGTTCATGTCTACGTTTGACCTCACCAGGACAGACGGTTGTGAATTTTTTCTAATAAAAAATCAGGGTTCTCTTTACAGTCCTATTTAACAATTTCTAAATTATTATTTACCGAATCACTATACTTGTGGACACTAGGAAATGCACCTTTCCCGTACCCGCCGCTTTTATAGTAACTTTAATCTATTTTTTTAATGACTGATTTATTGTTATTTTATTCGATGTCTGTAGATGAAGCTAAATTATATAAAAGATGTTCAATGTGTATACATATTTATATTGTACTTATTGATAAAAATATATCGATGTTTAAATAAGTAGGTTACAATTTTAAATATAATAAATGTTACTTCGAACGTTGTATTGGTTTGGGTAAAGAATGAATGTAAAATTAACCATATCATAATTTTGTTTATGTACGAATTTATCATCGGTTTTACTTTCGGCTTGAAACTTTGAAAAATATAGAAAAGAAGGTATAATCACTATTTTAATCTAAGTTATACATTTAAAAAATAATTAAACGTTTTCTAATAAAACATCCCTATGTACTTATTTCGAACGAAGTTAATACGTGAGGGGAATTCGAAAAACAAATGAGTCTGGAACGATGAATGCCCAAACATAATGATGAAAAGTTTTATACTTTCTATTGTAGAAATACTCTTTTATATTCAGCCTGTTAAATTACTTTCGGAGCAAAAAGTTTTTAATGTGTCTTATAACCGCTTTAAATGTTTACTTATAAAATATTTAGCCATTAAATATTGTAATTCCGTTTAATAAGAACAATCCATATCTATGTAACAATCATATCGTGGAGCTTAAAATGTTTTGATTCCAATATAAAATTAAAAATTAAACTAAATTTGGCAAAAGATGATGTAACTTGACCACTCGAAACGTCAATTAAAATTATGACATTAAATAAAAAAAAAAATTAATACCCCCGACGCAAAGAAAGCTTATAAAAGTGTGGAATACTATTCAATTTTTGAATTATACGTAAAAAGAAAACACTAATCGTTCAATACATAATCTTTTTTTTAAATTTATTAACTAAAGTAACATGTAAATGTCGCTATAAAAATTTCTTAACTAAAAGCAAACCTCTCTTTTTGTGTCGGGGGTTAATTAGACTATACAAAAAGTAATTTAAACACATCATACATTAAATGTGTATATTTTGGATACTGTACAGGACGAAGCATACTTTAACAATTTATTGTACTATCACAATCTGTCCAATATTTTACAGAAACAATTCGTTTTATAAAAGTCTATTTAATTTTAAAATGCCACGATATATGCTTTTATTCCGACATAATCCAAACGGTAGATTAGAAAAATATTTAACTAAATGTATGTTTTAAGTGTGTACGCAAATGTATATTGCATTGAAACAATATATGTGTATACTTGGATGTAATATGTTCCTAGCTTTAAAATGAGTAGATCAATGTATTTATTTATATTCTTTTGTTGTGACTATAAAATAAATAAAGTAACAAAATAATCGTTTTCTTTACCTCTGATCTTACAAGCATTCAGATAATTAAAAAGATATATTGCTATCCGCAGAGATAGGAAGAGATTACTTTAAATGTTTAAGGTCGGTTTTCATTGCATACAACACTTCTGTAAAAGAACGTTTTTTCCAAATATAAACTCAAGTACCATGTGTATATTAATACACATTAGTAATATAGCTAATTTGTAAGGTTATATAAAAAAATCACTATCTTTACAATGTAAAGCCGTAAATTTTTATTAAATTAATATTTATAAATATCTTCCAATAATTTTAACTAAGATTGTGTTAATTATATCGCCTTAATGGCTGTATTTTATTAAAATTTAACTGTAGAAAAATTGTAACCGAAAATAACTATATTGAAAGCAAGCTGTAAAAGCGAATATTGAATTTGGTTAATGGTTGTAAATGAAGTGCGTGGGTGCGTGGTGTGCGGGCGCGGAGCGTGGGTAGAGGGGAGGCAGATGAGTCGATTTATCAGTGGGCCGCCATTTACCTGCGAAGGATATTCGATTAAAACGGATACCCGCCTCGCACTTTTTGCAACTTCAATGAGATATTTTTATAACCCCATACTTTAGATAAACATCTGCCCTGTATTGACAGAAAAAATATTTGAAATTTATTTATTTTGAGCGTGTGTTTTTTGTCTTTGTTATTTTTACGGTTTAAATTAAAGTGTGTAAATGCAAAATTAAGTTTTATAGCGTAAGAAAAAAGTTAAAAAGATGTGTAAGACAGACAAAAAAAAGAAAAATCACTTCTGCCTCTACATGTTCCATCAGGTAACAATAATAACTGTTATATAATTTATGTTTCATTATTTTAGTTGATAATTTCAGCACATACAATGTCACATAGTATTGGTTCATTGTGAAGTTTAATCAAATCCTAGTAATGGAATATATTTGCAAATGCAATATTCCATTTGGCGGCGCCGCAGGCGACGACTGTTGATTGGATATCGAGAGTTGCAAACAATCCAAATTTCCAACCAAACATCGCTGGTTTTGGGAACTTAATTCTGTTACATACTACGAAGTTTATTGTTATTATACCAGGAAATTTATATCTATTAATTTGATGTTTAAAAATACACATGATGTTTCTACTTGACATTTCATCGTTTAGATTCTCATTATCATATCTTAATTTAATCATCTTTTCATAACCCTAACTAACATTTTATCATAACATCTGTGAAGTAATGATGAACTACAACCAACTTCGCTACTATAATAGTAGTTCGGAAATCACAAAAATACAATATAAAAATATTGTAAATCGAATATTGGTCGAAAAGCTAAAAGCGAAATATCACACGGCAAGCACACGTCAAAAGCCTTTGTTGAGCTTACATATAGAAAAATGAATGTTCGGTTAAAAAAGATTTCTGTTCGCCATCGAATATTTTGCAGTTGTATCGACAATAATTTGTTAAAAAGTTATTTCAGTGTGACATTGTGTTCGCCAAGAGAATTCCCCGAATTGACGAAATTATTTATTTAGTGTACCTACAATAAACTGCTATTTCTGTGAAAAGGTTTTAGTAACCCACGCTTACCTGTAAACATTTGTATAGTTTTATTTGAAAACTGACAACAGTCTTAACAAACATGATAGTGGTATATTTACATAGTCAACCTCAGTTTCATTAACTCTGGATTACCCGCATAATTTCGAATACTCACCGGCTCCCGTATTGTTAATTGGCTTTTACGTCGACCTATTTCAATTTGGATGGCCAACTTTGAATAGGTAACAGTGTGCTTACACTAAACTTGCTTATGTTATTACCCATTGTTTACATTGTACCTTAAATCCTATTAATTTGGAGATAACTTGTTACGTTCAAATCCTACCAAGCCTAAGTTACTTGATGAAGAATTCGTGCGCGAGCATTTCTGAAACTCTAGATTGGCGTGACCATAATGCAATTTTATGTAACAAAGTTTCTTCACACTAATGAGTTTCTTTTGCTGTAGTTATAAATTGATTATTTAAAAAAAATGTAGATAAAGTATTAAAAAAATCTATAATTTTTTTTCATATGTTTTTAAATCTTGTTAACTAAACCGTTAAGAGTAAATTAATTCTCGATCTCAGAACTACATCATGTAATGGCTCATGTAAACCATTCAGGATTTAATCAGATGTGGAACGTAATAACATAGATTAGTTGTGACTGTGAGTTGAGGTTTGCGCATAATTGGAATTCTATTACTAACTAATATTGTATATTTTTTAAGATTTATAAATATAAATACTTAGGAAGATTAAACAGCATGATATATAAAAGTTATAAAAAGTGTAGATATGTAAAATTTGATATGTCGGAATCCTAAGAAGGTGTGTAACAGACTTTAAATACTTATCACACTAACATTATAAATGTGAAAGTTTAGATGGATGGATGTTTGTTAGAGTTTGTAGCCTAAACTAGTAAACGGATCTCAATAAAATTTGGCGTAGATGTAGAGAATAGTCTGGAGGAACACATAGGCTACTCACTTTTGTTATTTAATTTCACGCGAACGGAGTCGCAGGCGAAAGCTAGTATACTAATAATACAAGTAGCTGTTGCTCACGACATCGTCCGCGTGAAATTATAACAATAATAAAAAAAATATATCCTTTACTCATTGATTACGCGGCTTTTTAATAATGAAAGATTTTTTTAATCGGCCCAGCAGTTTTTGATTATACTCCAAAAACATATTATACAATGTTAAAAACAACATATTTAAGTACAAATAATCAGGGAATTACACATAAGAGGTAGTATATTGTATTGTACAAATAGCATTGATTGTATGGAACAATACCTTTGAAATGTTTTCATACACGGTATTGAAAAGGGATCGGACAATAGACACGGCGACCGAGGCGTAATAATACGTAGTCTAAGTATTTATTCCGTTTAATATCGATTTCAAAACTTTGTATTACAGAAAAATATATGATTCAATAGCACATTAGTGTACACTCATGTATTCTAGGCAGTAAGTCTCAACTTACAAAATTTGGATTCCAAGTTATGAAGGAGCACTAATGATTCTGTTAACTGTCTAGATTATCGTTATTCCTAATTATTGTTACTGAGTTTTTCGCTTCTACAAACACAAAAAACGATTACTATTTTGTGGTAATAGGAGTTTAAGAACGTGCACATTTTTGACTAAACTATCGCACAACTGTTTAGTTGCACTTTGATTCCTATAAGCTTATATGGTGTGCACACTACTCGACTTTCAGTTGTGCAACTAAACTATGCAATGGGCCGCGAAACAATCGACAATCGCACGACAGTTGTGCGATTGTTTAGTCAAAGTTGTGCGCCCGATCTAAGTCTAAAAACTTCCTTTAAGAAAATTCCAGAAAGAAACAACTATAAGGAATATAAAATAAAATGTAATTCGTCTTACTTTGCATTTGTTTGAAGTCAAAATCAATTCACCTTTGAGTCCGCCGCTCCAGACAAAGGTATCTTTATTTGATTTACGATATCTCCCACGTTCAGTGGTTTATCCAATTTGCATTCAATTTATGAAATTCTAAATAATTTTTCCTCTGAAACATGAACACGTTTAGAAGAAAAATCGTGTTATTTTAAAATGAATTAAAGCTGGTTAAAACCTGTAATCATTTACATTTAAAAATTTTCCTTTTACGTATAGACAAGAATAGTTTTTAGAGTGAATGTAATAA